TCTTTTCTGGTCTTTTTTGGCTGTGGGACTGAACCTTGTTGTACATTTATCTCCATCAAAATGTTGTAGCTGCATTTGGCATCATTCCTTCAACATTCTCCTTTTTGCAAAAGGATGGAATTAGCTTAGTTTAATAATAGTCATTCCTGATTTAAGTAATTTTCCCAGCTAGCATTTGGCCATTCCATTGAGAGTCAAGGAATCTAGTACAATAACGGTTCTTATTAATTCACCACTCTTCATTTTAAAAGAATATTATAATTCCTTTGTGATGTAAATTGTTTGGGCAATATGATGGTGCAGTGCCTTGTGACTAAAAAGTCGACAGGCTAGAAGGACAAAGTATTAGGGAACAATAGCAAACATTTACTGTTTGGCACTTTTTAAATGTTCTCTGTTAGATACTTCTTATTTCTGATTTGCTTTTCTTTTTGCTTTTCCCAAAAGGGATTTAAGTTAATTACTTTTTCTAATGTGACTTTGATATTTCAGTCCCCCCAAATCTTCCAAGGAATATGCAGCTGAAATGTCATTCTAGTTCTTTTATTTTCCTAGAAGCTCTGATATTAAATATGGGTGTCACACTGGAAAATTCCACCAGAAGAAAAAGTTAAACAAGGCATAAAATTTACATTAGTAACATCCCATTAACCCATCATCTAGAAGGCTTTTGTTACATGATTTTCATCATTTATGAAATTATTTTGTTGTCTTTTCTGGTCTTTTTTGGCTGTGGGACTGAACCTTGTTGTACATTTATCTCCATCAAAATGTTGTAGCTGCATTTGGCATCATTCCTTCAACATTCTCCTTTTTGCAAAAGGATGGAATTAGCTTAGTTTAATAATAGTCATTCCTGATTACTCTCTCTGTGGAAAACAACTTGAGACACACCTTGTTTAATTTAAGAAAGTATTCACACTGCCCTTTAAAAATTTCATTTGATATAACCTATTGATTTTGAAACCAATTAGTCTTACATGTAAAAATGTTACTGCTTGTAGTAGAGTACTTTTACATGTCATTGGGATAGTTGTCACCATGTAAAAGGTGTGTAGTTTTAAACTTTCTTTTAAAAAAAATTATTGGAGAAAAGTGGATTCACAACATTGTGTTAGTTTCAGGTGTCCAGAAAAGTAATGAAGTTGTACATATATTCATTCTATTTTAGATTCTTTTTTTCATATAGGTTACCGAAGAATATTGAGTAGATTTCCCTGTGCTATACAGTAGGTCCTTAGTGTACGTGTTCATTCCAGACTCCTCATTCTAAGTTCATTTGAAGCTCCAGTACATACCTAGTGCATGTATGTATTCCAACACACGTACGCTACAATATATAAGATAGAGAACCTACAAGGACCTACTGTATAGCACAAGGAACTCTACTCAATACAATATTGCAAATCAACTATTCTCCAAAATTTTTTTAAAATAAAGTTTAGAACTACACACATTTTAATCCCTCCGCCAAAACTTTCAAAAACATAAAGATCACTGCTAAGTTTCAATTTGAAAAAATATATTTTAATGAAAATAGTCATATAAGTGATAGTTGGGTTTCCAGGGTAATATCTGAAGCAAAATAATTATAATACCTGTTAATAATATATTTAGTACTAATAATAAAGTAGTTTAAAAATATTCAACAAGATAATATCATAGCCCTAAACTATGTATTAAGACAAGGTTAAGAAGACAGCATTCCGATTGGGAGGGAAGAGTGAGCATGATTTTTCATCTACAGGGTGGTAACTCAGATGTTGTACTGTCTGGGGCACTGGTAATTCATTAATAAGAGAGTGTAAGACCCTTCTATCAGCTCAGTTCAGTCACTTAGTCATGTCCAACTCTTTGCGACCCCATGAATCGCAGCACGCCACGCCTCCATGTCCATCACCAACTCCCGGAGTTCACACAAACCCATGTCCATTGAGTCGGTGATGCCATCCAACCATCTCTTTCTCTGTTATCCCCTTTTCCTCCTGCCCTCAATCTTTCCCAGCATCAGGGTCTTTTCAAATGAGTCAGCTCTTCTCATCAGGTGGCCAAAGTATTGGAGTTTCAGCTTCAACATCAGTCCTTCCAATGAACACCCAGGACTGATCTCCTTTAGGATGGACTGGTTGGATCTCCTTGC